ATGAAAAGCTCCAGTCTTCTCGGATGATTACGACAAAATAAGTTTAGTCAGAGTTCACAAATTTATTGATACATGAGACAAAGGTACAAATATATATGCAAAGTAACAATAGCGGAGAAAATAAACAAAAGATCACCTCCATAGTGAAAAGCAAGAAACAAAATCTAGGTAATTAATCCAGATACTTACACAGGAATATATTTCTTGTGTGTAGTAAGTGAAATTGATACGTCAGTATTAGAAACAATAAGTCAAGTTGGTTCTATTCTGCAAAGATCACAATTAACATGAATTCAATTCTACACAAATGTTGGTGGAAATACATACATATGGTAATACAATATTCTCATCAACACATAGATCAATATCACATTCAATATGTATAAAATACGAGCAGTAGAACACTAGCAATCAAAACCTTACCATAGATCATAGGAACTTAAAAGTTCTTCAGCTTCCAGCATAAATCAAGGGCTTTAGCTATAACTTTAGTAACTGGTAGTTGTAGCCAATACTAGCCATAAACACAAAATCTATGATATACCCTTCATTGTCATCATATAAAATAAACAAAGAAACAAACAAGTGATAATATATTAATAAGAAGAATCATAATATAGAATCACCAAAATGCATAAACTGTACATACGTTTGAGTGGACCTTCTGGGGTATTTACAAAGTTTATGGATGTAATGTTTGTCACCATAGTCAAAAGAAATAGACTCAGATGGTGCAGGTGGAATGTTGCCGAATAAACGACACAGGTTATCATCGTTTCATTCCGATACTAGTAGAGTAGCGAATCACATATGCAAATGGAAATCCAGACCATATTATTTATGAACTGGGATTGTTGATTTTGAGGGTGTGGGTTCGAATCCCAAATCTGTACTTTACTGAGAAAGTGTTATCCCAAATATAACATATGTATCATTTTTTGGATGTTTACCAAAAAGCGAAGATACAGAGATTGACTGATGCTTGTCTAACACTTATGACACTTGATGATCTTCCAACGGAAGAATACCCCCAGCGGGCTAATCTAAATCTTCATTAAACAGTATTTGTGAAATATTACAATATTAGTGTCGGATAAAAGTGATAAGAACCAAGCAGCTTACAAACTTTCTCCGAGGTCAGGGTTGGACGTAGTGCCTACGGAAGGGGTTGGTATTAAATACTTCTAGTCAGGTTTTAGGTCGCCAACTCTGTTAATAAAATTTAATTCATCCAAATTTAATATTTAACAGTGCCATAAAGGTTAATTTTTGATACCACCTGTCTGAATTGGAAAAATACTAAAACTCCTGGAATAATCAAATAATGAACACATTCTCAGGTGACTATTCTACTTAAAAACTGTAACGTAGCAAATAGCAAAAAAATATGCAATTGGTATGATTTATAACACCCATGCACTAACGTAACTTTATATCTCTGTAGTTAAACTGAAACACAAAATATTGATTTATCAACTTTCGTAGTAGCACAGATGTGTATTCTCTTCAGGAGTTATCATAACATGTTATATACATGCTTATGCTGTGCCAGTTATACAACAGTCATACACATGTTCAGACACCATGTTCACAACGTTCAGACTTCAGTCATGTTGAAGAGGACCTTAGAAGATTCACAATGGCTTTGTTGTCCCAGTTGTTTGCAATAGTGACATACTTCTCTAATCCCCGTTGACACTGGCTGAATTGTTTCAAGGAAAGGAGGTGTTTCACTATAGACATGTTACCACCCCTACAAGCCAACATCAAGCAGTCATTCTGGTATGTATCAGTCATTGACATATCAGCTCCCTCCGTCACAAGAAGATTGTATACACCACAGTGTCCACTTGAAGCTGCCATCATAACTGCTGATCGATGCAAACTCCCACCTTGCCTGTTGATGTCAAATGTTTCCAAGGAAAGGAGGTGTTTCACTATAGACATGTTACCTCTCCCACATGCCAACATCAAGCAGTCACTGTTGCTTGTATCAGTCAGTGACAGATCAGCTCCCTCTTCGACACAAGAAGATTGTATACATCATATTGTCCTCTTGCAGCTGCCATCATAACTGCTGATTGATGCAAACTCCCCACTTGCCTGTTGATGTCAAATGTTTCCAAGGAAAGGAGGTGTTTCACTATAGACATGTTATCTCCCTCACATGCCAGCATCAAGCAGTCACTGTTGCCTGTATCAGTTAGTGACAGATCAGCTCCCTCCAACACAAGAACATTGTATACATCATAGTGTCCTCTTGCAGCTGCCATCATAACTGCTGATCGATGCAAACTCCCACCTTGCCTGTTGATGTCAAATGTTTCCAAGGAAAGGAGGTGTTTCACTATAGACATGTTACCTCCCTCACATGCCAACATCAAGCAGTCACTGTTGTATGTATCAGTCAGTGACAGATCAGCTCCCTCCGACACAAGAAGATTGTATACATCATAGTGTCCACTTGAAGCTGCCATCATAACTGCTGATTGATGCCAAAACCCACCTTGCCTGTTGATGTCAAATGTTTCCAAGGAAAGGAGGTGTTTCACTATAGACATGTTACCTCTCCCACATGCCAACATCAAGCAGTCACTGTTGCTTGTATCAGTCAGTGACAGATCAGCTCCCTCCGACACAAGAAGATTGTATACATCATAGTGTCCTCTTGAAGCTGCCACCATAACTACTGATTGATGCCGCATCCCCCCTTGCCTGTTGATGTCAAATGTTTCCAAGGAAAGGAGGTGTTTCACTATAGACATGTTACCTCCCTCACATGCCAACATCAAGCAGTCACGGTTCCCTGTATCAGTCAGTGACAGATCAGCTCCTTCCGACACAAGAAGATTGTATACATCATAGTGTCCTCTTGAAGCTGCCATCATAACTACTGATTGATGCCGCATCCCCCCTTGCCTGTTGATGTCAAATGTTTCCAAGGAAAGGAGGTGTTTCACTATAGACATGTTACCTCCCTCACATGCCAACATCAAGCAGTCACGGTTCCCTGTATCAGTCAGTGACAGATCAGCTCCTTCCGACACAAGAAGGTTGTATACATCATAGTGTCCTCTTGAAGCTGCCATCATAACGGCTGATTTAAGCCAAAGCCCCCCTTGCCTGTTGATGTCAAATGTTATCAAGGAAAGGAGGGGTTTCACTATAGACATGTTACCTCCCTCACATGCCAACATCAAGCAGTCACTGTTGTATGTATCAGTCAGTGACAGATCAGCTCCCTCCGACACAAGAAGATTGTATACATCATAGTGTCCACTTGAAGCTGCCATCATAACTGCTGATTGATGCCAAAACCCACCTTGCCTGTTGATGTCAAATGTTTCCAAGGAAAGGAGGTGTTTCACTATAGACATGTTACCTCCCCCACATGCCAACATCAAGCAGTCACTGTTGTATTTATCAGTCAGTGACAGATCGGCTCCCACTGACACAAGAAGATCATATACATCATAATGTCCTCTTGAAGCTGCCAACATCAGTGATGTTTGTTCCATCCATCCTACTCGCATGTCTAGATTAAAGATTTCACACGTCAGCAAATATTTTACAACTGATACATGACCATTGATACAACCTGTTTGAAAAGTGTTCATACTGTCATACTTAGTCGTGTTGGTTAAATCTGCTTTGTGTGAAACAAGAAGTTTGAGGATTTCCACCTGCCCTGATTCAGCACATAAAATTGCTGGAGTATTTCCATCTTCGTCACCAACATTGATCAGATTTTGAAACTGTTTAATGAGAACGTTTACTATATCTTTGCTTCCTGATTTACATGAAAAATGAAGACAATTGCAATGTCGATTGTCTGTCGCTGAAACATCAGCTCCCTCTTTCAGTAGGAAGTTGAACACATCTAGCAGTCCTGCCTCAGCAGCAACCATCAGCAGTGTTTTGTGGTCTTTTGTCCTCCTGTCAACATCAAAACTGTCAAGCTGTTTGAGTGCAGCAGCAGTACGCTCAAGATACAGTTGATTGCCACTCTGTATACAGCCTATGATACTATCGTAGAAGTCAGTGACAATAGAATTTGAAAGGTCTGTCTCTCTACACATCAGTGACACCGAGTGTTCAAACAGTGAATGGTTAGTTGAAACTGAGACCCAATACAGAAAGCATTCACCGGATTTCGTATCTTTTCTGTGAACAATCTCTGGCAAGTCTGGCATCATTTGTGTCAAGAAGGAGGAGGCTATTTGAACGTTGCTGAATATAGAGTGACCAACTGTCCATCTAAAACACCCTTCTCGGACACCTTGCACCAGTCTAGAGATCACTAAAGGATGTAGACTGGAAGTGATGTAGATCATGTTTGTGACATCATCAATGTGGGTTGACTGAAAGCTAGCATCCCTGTTAAGTCTGACTCTTTCATATAGCAACTGCAGAGAACAGTGTTCCAGTAACAACACGTCATTAAGATGGCCCAAAGCACATGCTGCAGCGTCGTGGATGGATGGATGAGAGAAGGAGGCAACATGATTCTCCACTGTACAGTAGGTGCCGATAAAGTTGCGGATTTCCTTACCGATGTCTGTACGACTGCAAGACGCTATCTCCTCCTTTACAACCTGAAACAATGCTGCACATTTTGTCCCCGACTTGAAGGAGACAAGGTCCAACTTCCCCCCACACAGGACGAGGAGAACGAGAGCTGCTGATCTGCTGCTACCTTCACGGATAATGGTGTCAAGGTCACCTCTCAGATAGGTCACAGGGTTCTGAAAGAAGTTAGTGATTTTGTGCATCTGGAAGGCTGGGTTGGTACAGTAAAGTTGACAGATGAGTGGAAACCCAAACACGTTGTCATGTAACTGTGTAATTGTGTTCTTGTCCTGACTGGAGATATCAAACATGTGATTTCTTTCCAGAAGGAATTTATTATGGATTCCTTCCTTAGTAGTCAGAGAGTAGTTGTGGTCATATCAATAACACTCACAGGGTTGAAGAGGTTAATTTTAAACTGGTGAAGTCTGCTACATCCCTTCATTCCAGTTGTATGTTCTAGATAATGAAGACACTTTTGAGTTTGTAGAGGCTTTTGAATCATCATCACCTAGAGTCTCATTCTTCTTGTCTACATTCAATTTTTTCAGCTCTCTCTTCCTCTTGTCCTGTTGTTCCTTCTGGACTGAGATGTTTACTATATCATCAGCCAGGGCGGTCAACACTTTCTTGATTTTCTGCAGATAGGATGGAAATGCTACAGAACCAAACATATCATCAAACACAATCAACATGTCACACTGTCGTTGAATTATTGTATCTACTTGAAACTCTTCAATATTTTCAACAAACACAACTTCATATTTCTTTAGGAGATATTTCTCACATATCTTGAGAGCAATGCTTGTTTTCCCATCACCAGGAGCTCCACAAAGTGCCACATGGTTGTGTTTTTTCAGGGGTTCTTCTGCTGTGTGGAGTGTGCGAATTTCCTCAAACACCTCATTCAGCTGCTTGATCCTGATGCTAAGAGATGCTGAAAACAAGAACACCAGAAAACTAGAGGACGTCTTCCCAGAAATTGTAACAGCAGATGGAATTGGTTTTTAAGTAAAATAGATGCATAATTATGCATACAATCTACAATACATTTTCACATAAGGCTAGGGACTTAACAAAAAGCAATATATTTTAATTTGTTTAATATTTCTTCTCCAATAAAACTAGTAACAACATCAATGTACAAAGTATGCTAACTTACAGTTAGGTTCATTCCTAATCAGGTCCTACTGATGACAGAAGATGCTGCACAGTTATGGGAGACATGTTTAGGCTGTGAGTGACCCTTCACTATTAGTTACCTTGTGATACACAGCCACGATGTTCGGGATTCCCCAATGAAGTGTGAGATGAGTTGGACAGATCATACTGGGATACAGAACAACCTGGAACAAGAAACAAAATTTGAATGAGTTGAGCAGGTGAGAGTGGGATACTGAACAACTTGGAACAAGACAACACCGTTGAAGGACTTTGACAGGTCACACCAAGGTACAGAACGATCTGACACATGAAAACAACGTTGAGTGACGTGGACAGGAATTGCTGAGATACTGAACAACCTGGAACAAGCAAACTGCTGACTATGTTCTTAAAGTGTGCTTTCAGTTTTTTGAAAATTGATTCTGGTAAATTGTGATCAATCAGAGCTATCAGACGGAATGACAACGAACAATAACACAGGACCTAAGCCCAAACGGACATTAAACATTTAAATAACAGTATGAAGTTACATACAAATTTGCTTACTTACATGTGAAGATGATCAATAGTTTTTAACATATGAAACCAGAATGTTCTTTAATCGCTATCCTTTAACTAACTTACATCACATTTCATGCTAGACTTTGATTTAATCCTGTAGGATGTGTAAATATGCTTGACCACATATCAGAGATATACTATATTGAGAGAAATCTACAGTAGAATCAGTCCTATTTTGTATTTAATTTGGCAGACACTCTATCCAAGTACAGTGACAGCCATCATGATGGGGAAAATATGCTCTAAAAACAAGGAGACAGTGATGGTAGGGGAAGATTTACCGATGTAGTTGTGTGTTGTTGTAGAAATGGATTGAAGTCCCTGTCGCTGGTTCTCCTCCATTACGGAAGGGTTGGGTTGTCTCCCCTGCTCTTGACTCCCTTCTATTACAGCACCATCTTGTGTTGGCGACAGTGTGGAGTGAATGTCCTTTGGTTGGTTCCCTTCAATAACAGACTGTGTGCCTGCTGCTGATCCTGCCACCGGGCCACCAAGAGTTGATTTCGATGGGGACTGTATGCACTCTGTCACATCTGGAGTGTTTGTCAGTGGTCCAGTTTCCATTCTTCATGAGACCATTCTGTAAATGTAGTCAATAGTTTATCATATGTTTATGTTTATCTCAATAAATATAGTCTTTAAAAGTTAAAATTACAACCAGAAATAATCGGACATGATAAGGTTCATCTTTCTCAGGCTCGAATATTCAGATACGCCAAATAAGTTTACGTTTGAGGGTAATAATGAACATGGTCAAATTTAAAATTCAAAATCATGCAAGATGAAAATCGAAAAGATTAAATAAACATATATGGTAATGTCTAGGAGTATGCAGGAGAAAACTCTGACTCTATTGTTTTCCATTTTCATCCACCAAATTGACAATTAATAAGTATGAGTAGATTTTGCAATTGCGGCCAAAGAGCTAGCAAGTTTGAGATCGCTTGGGCCACTAAGTTTTCAGGATGACCAATACCAGGCTTGGACATATGCAAATCGCAACATAGCTTCAAAGATCTTAACATCAACGCCAGGAAATTACCAGTTCTGAAGATCTGCTGAAACAAAACAACCATCTTACAAAATATACCTATTGATAGGCCACTTTGCAAAAACGTGAAGTCCATTTATGGCGTGATATTGCTGGAATATTGCTAAAAGAGGTGTACAACTAAACTCACTGAGTTTACAGAAAAATTGGAATACTTTGACAGTTTAGCTTGGGAAAGACACTCGACATAAAATGGACAGTTTTACGTGGATGCACGTGTCTTAGATCACATCAGAGCGTATGGGTCCCCGGCGACAGTCTCTACAGCCTATACTGAATATATTATATTATATAACTAAACAATAATATTGAGATAACAGTTGACAGCAACAGTTCAGTCCAAGGCACGGAGACAGAGCATAAAACAACATTAAACATGAACAACGTACAGAGATACTGTCATTATTTAAGCCCGCTCCACCCGCCCATACAACCAGGAAGTAACCAGTGTTCTACGTCCGTCATCGTACAAGAAGGGGGAGAACTCGTGCAGTAACAGTCCATTATGTTTCCACATCACCACAGTCGTGGACAGGTTAAGATCGGGGCTCAATTTACACTCTTGTGTTCCAAGTTATATGCTTCATTTTCTCTTTGTCGTTATGTTACCATATGTTGGGACAAGCTAACATAATCTGTGTATATTGTGGTGGCGCGTGGTCCTGTGCTCAAAGCTCAGGTCACCAGTCGGTGAAGTTAAGCAGAGTCGAGCTCGGAGAGTCCTTGGATTGGTGACTGTGTTTGGCAGCTTGACTCCTGAGAGTTTCTAGGACTTGAGTCCTGCCCCACAACGAAGCACATATGACACATGTGGTCTCACCTTAGGCAAGTGAGTTTATTCAAAATTGTCTCTGTTCACCCAGCAGGAAAATGGGTACCCAGTGGAAAAAAGTCATATGACTATAACCTTCTAGCGCCTAACAGCCAGCTTGGGTTATCCGGGGTAATAATGTGCTATGCCTTGATTGTTAGCGCTATGAGCACACCTAGTGTGGAGTTTGGCGCTATATCAATGGAAACATTATTATTATTATATTAATGTTAGATACCTTGATTCTAAGAATCATAGTCTAAGATCTATCCATGGGATACAAAAGTCATCTTTACAACACAGTGCATTCGGAAAGGTAAAACAATCATTGAATGTCACTCGATGCTGATGCAGCTGAAAATAATTACAATAGAATTTGTTGTCAAGACTTATTTTCATCTTCATAATTGTCGCTGTAGTATAGTAAAGCGGTTTCAGTCCTTTATATATATGCGAGTGCTATAACTATAAAAACTAGTGATGGTTCTATTTTTGCTGTTTATTTTAATGGCAACTTTGCTCGTTAACTCTCACGTTTTTTGTCTGCAAATGTTGACTTTAGAAAATATGACATCTTCAAGATGCTTGTTTTGAAGTGTTTGGTCACCAGTAACAGTTAAATCATGACATGTTCGTAACACTGGAAACTAAACAATAACATTAAGACAGCAGTCTACAGAAACAGTTATATCCAAAGCGTGGGAGAATATTTAACACCATACGAAAAAGACAACTTACAGAAGAATAAGGAATATGAAGGCATAAATTCCATTATTGGCTAGGATTAATGCTTACCGATAGTTGCCTTGATTTCCCAAACTATCAAAACAGATACACAATTGTCAGTAAGGGGTTTCCTGTAAATTCGACCTTTGGGTTGAGGTAAAACTCGTCAGTAATTAGGTACTACGTACATTTCTGGTACTGAATAATGTAACAGACATGTATTCTGTCTTACCTCCCTTCCAAAGTCAGTAATAGGTAGAACACTATTGATGATATCCAAGTGCCCATAAGACGACAGCTTTCGCTTTAACAGGAATTGCCCGGAAAACTATTTATAGCTTATGACTCACTTTGTCGCTGGGCGTTGAAGTGATTACCAGGCATGACGACCTGAGCTGTGTTGCATGAATTGCAGTTGTCAATAGAACTAAGCCTCGCACGGCGAGAGATTCAAATCTTGAATAAACCGATACAGACTTGTCTATATTTAATAACTAGATGTTTAAGATAAGACGAATCAAAAATATGAAGATGATAATTCCACTAGATTTGTTTGGGGTTAATGTTTTCCCTAGTTGCTTTGATTTATCAAACTATCAAAACAGATATACAGTCGTTACTTACTAACTATTGACTAAATTTCTGTTACTGATTAATGTAACTGATTAATCTGTAAAATAATGTTATAAATCGAAAGTACATATACTGTGTATGAAAGACACATTCAATGATCCCTCAAAGTCATTACCGGGTTATCAACCTGAGCCAATTCATTCCACTTTTCAGAAGCCATGCTATAAAACAGATGCTTAACTGATGATTTGTAAAGATCATAGATATATCTTGAGCTTGCCCCTGCACATATCTTTAACATTATTTTGACACTTTAAAAAAACCCTCCAAACTCACAAGCTTGCATTAAAACATTGTTTATGAACGTTTATGAACTGGAAATGAGAGGAAAATGAAATATCGGAATAATGGAAGATGAAACACCATTCCGAACTATTAACATGCAAAATACCTAATACCCCACAAAAACAATAAATGCTCACAGGCCTGGTTTATGAAAAACAAACGTAGTAAATCTAGATGATTAAGATAGCTATAATGGATACTAATATTGACAAATGTCTTCTGTATTTCGACTTATGACATAAAAATATTATTGTTAATACCTAATAAAGGAAACCGCTTACATTTGCAATTCCTAAATGTCCAAGAAAGTTGAAGAAATCAATGTACACTGAATAGATATATTTTAATCTCTTTAACGTTTTTACAAACATTTAGATGTATTCATTTGGAAATAAAACACTAAAAGCTCGGAATAATTACGACAACAGAATATGTTCTCAACAAATTAATTTCATCATCATAATTGTGTAGTATATGAAAGAGATCTCATTCGTTTATGAAATACAGAAATGAGTGATTGTTAAAACTATTAGAAACATTCAGAAAGAGAGTTATCGTTCAAGTCTGAAGTAGTTCGGCTGTTCATTAGCCAACATTCAATCCTTCAGCTTGGCCCGTAATAACACGAATTGGTCACGAATGAAATGCAGCTCGTCAACTCTACACTGTGACGTCAGGTCACATAATAACAACTCTAGTCGTCAACTCTCGCTAGTTTCCGGAACAGGAGTACTTTTTTAGAAGACTATTGACTTTATGAAAAACATCATCTTCCAGATACTTGTTTTTATATGCTTAATAAATGATTTGATTTGAGTTTTACTGTACATCTCCTTTACGTGGAGCGTTGATATCAGAGGGTGTGAAGTAGCTTTGAACACAAGTGTTTGGTCACCAGTAACAGTTAAATCATGACATGTTCGTAACACTAAACAATAACATTAAGACACCCGTCTACAGAAACAGTTATACCCCAAGCATGGGAACAGTGGGAGAGTATGTAACACTGAATAAGAACAACTTACAGCGAAACTCTCATAGTGTGCGGGCGGTCCACCCGTCCATACAACCAGGAAGTTACCCGGGTTCTACTTTCGTTATCGTGTATGAAGGGGGACAACTCGTACAGTAACAGTCTATTATATATCGACATCACCTTACGTTGTGGACAGGTTCAAATCATGGTTCTCGTCAACACTCTTCTTTTAATACTTTGTTTCAGTTTGTATTCCATATTTGGTTACCGACTTACAAACTATCCTAATCTATGTATGGTATTTTCATGGATCCGAGGGTGAGGTCAATTCATTGGATTCCTATGGCATGCTTGCCGCATGATTTGACTGTTAATGACATTAGGCACTGTATGGGCAGACCTATCGGCGTACAGTTAGTAAAACATGACAGCAGATTTGAGAAAACCTTCATAGAAGACAGGTGTACTATTTGACATCGAACATGTGATACATGCGTTTACTGTATAACCAACATATATTACGGTATTTAATTTATTATATGCCTGTTTTAGACACAGTAGTGCTTGTATCCGACTGCGCGTGAACACACAGACAGAAACACGCACACACACACAGATAGACAGAAACACGCACACACAGAGACAGAACACGCACACAGACAGACAGAAACACACACACAGACATAAACGCAAACACAGACAGAAACACGCACACAGAGACTGAAACACGCACACACAGACAGAAACACACGCACACACACATACAGGCACACGCACACACACAGGAACACGCAGACGCACGCACACATACATACACACACAAATACTCAAAGAAACCGCACATACACAAGGATTAGAAAATGTACTGGATGAATATGCACAGTTCAGTAAAAGAAAAGCCGACATTAGCAAGAGGGGTTAAACAACAAACAAACAAATCACATGGTCAGGCAAGCGTGTGCAGGAGAACGTATTGGCGATGAATATCATACTCAACGTCGGTAGTAACCTGTTGGCGAGAACGCTCACGGTGCATTATCGCTTAAAGCAATCTAAAACCATACCCACTCACTTACTGATAGGTTCATTGTTAATGTC